TTCTATTTTGCTTGCGCATATATACACACATGCATACGGACGCACGCGCGAACCTACAAAAAGTATGACTTCACAACCTCCACCTTCCTCTGCCCCCCTCTCCCGCTCCGAAAAAAATTTTGGCTACGCCTCTGAACCGCTTACCACTACATAGCGTGCTCAGTAGTAAGCAGCCGGAAGAAATAAAACTGCATCTGGGTGCTGGCAAATAAAGGAAACTGGAACAAGGTTGATAAAAGACTGAAGTCATTCTGGGCATAGCTGACAATGCGATATGATTATAAGAGCGTCCATGAAGAAATACAGAAACCAAATTCAACCTCTTACACGTGATGAAAACCGTAGGGTAGCGAAACTGCAAGCACGCGAGTGAGAGGTGGGCTAGCGAGACACGTGGTTCGCTTAACAGTCCACTTCCGAGTTTCAGCGAACGCATCGTGCCGCGTGATATGTAGCGAAATAACGTGGTCTGCCGGCTCGGGCAATGACGTTTCAGCTAACGCTTTGTGTCCCGTCATTTGTCGCTGGCGCAGGCGCACTCCTGAGAAGTGTGCGTTCACTCGTGACCCTCTTAAGCGCTTAGGTGTCTTGCTTTAGTTTCTTACTAATAATGGGCCTCTAATTAACGTAATTACCGAAAGTTCGAATTTATTTCGCAGTTTTTTTTACCGGAAGTCGCTATCACGGTAATGATCATCTCGAGCATCATCATGGTCTCGTTATGTTTATTTTTTTGTTCAATGCCGATCGCGTGAGCTGCGTGACACCCATAACTGCTGCTACTGCTGCTACTGCTCCTGCTGCTACTACTACTACTACTACTACTACTACTACTACTACTACTACTACTGCGTCTGCTACTACTACTATGAAGTACGAACACAGTGAATTCAACGCGGGGGCACAAGAAGAGACACAGACAATCGCTTAGTCACGCAGCGCTTCTCTTGGCCTCTTCTTGTGTCTCCGTGTCGAATTCGTGCTGTTCGTACTTCATAATGCTAAAACAACTAGCCCAAACTTTTTTTTTACTAAGGTATATTACTACTACTACTACTACTACTACTACTACTACTACTACTACTAATAGTGCTGATCATACTACTACTGCTAATATTGCAACCACCGCTACTACTACTACTACTACTACTACTACTACTGTACTACTTCTAATACCTACTACTACTATGACGACTACTACTAATGTACCACTACATCGATGATGACAGCACAAGGTGCTCTAAAACAGCTGCGTAGTAAAAAAGATATATTGAAACCAGGATGCTATACTTCATAAGATGAAGTAATACATATTCGCAACAAACACGCTAAGCGACTACTTTTCTTCACCACCTTTCAACGGAGATATTGATAAACACCATCATAAACTCCGTTGGTGAGCAAAACTCAACTAATGTACACGGTAAACGTAAACACCACAACGTGGTAGTATCTAATCACTCGCGTGCCACTGACCCTTTCTACGCCTTCTGCACGCAGCTCGTCACTTCTCAATCTGCTGACTAATGGTGCGCGATTTTCTACGGGATAGGCGGTGATATCGGCATTGCCGCGGCACGTCACTGACTGATAGTTCATAATCGTGAGAGAAGAAAGGCGCGCCGCCTTTTGACGAATCAGCTTCGAGCCGTTCTATTGAGCGCCCCACTCGACTTTCTCTCCCAAAACGAGCAGGATAGCACCTGTCGGTATCTCAGTGCACTTCGCTTCTTCGACGCCCACGGGGGCACCCGATTTGGAGGCCGCTACAGAACAACGGGAGTAATAGAGGCGTGTCTCGTTTTGAGGAATGCCCCAGATATCGATGCGTTGACTAAGCCCCACAGGGTGTTCGTGCTTTGTCTGTGAATTCGAGAGGGTGCTTCGGTCAAACCCTTTGTTCATTTTTTATTTTCACTCTGCAGCAGTATTATCAATGCCGTTTGTCGCTATATCAATATTATTTGCTCGTAGTTTCAACAGCTCTGACGATAACTGAATAATCGCCATTACGGCACTGTATGCTACTACTTTCATGAAGTATACTGTTTGTTCCTTAATTTGCTGCGTGAGCGTTGAAGGTAGAGTGCTGGGTGATCGACGGGATAGGGAACCGAAGCTTCCCGTTTATAATGGTGCCCTGCAACTTTTCCATCTTTGTCTTCAAAATACAGTCCGACACGTAGGATGTTAAGCACTAAGAGCGCCGTGACAGCGTCTTCGAATGATTGTCGGCAGCATGCACATTCACCTTAGGCGCAGTCACGTTGCACTGCACTCACTGCTCAATTCTTCCTCTCTCACTCGCTCTCCTCTTTCCCCAGAGTAGGGTAGCTAACCGTACATGTTTCAGGTTAGCCTCCCTGCCTTTTGTTTTTCTGACCATCCGCGGTGGTTTAGTTATTATATGATGTTCGATTGCTGATCCGAAGGTCATGAGGTTGAATCCTCGCCGCGGCTCGGCAGCCGTATTTCGATGGACGCGAAAGGCCAGATGCCCGTATGCTTAGATTTAGGTACACGTTTAAGGAACATGGTACAAGTTTTCGGAGTCTTCCATCGAGACGTCCCTCATAATCGTGTCGTGGTTTTGGGACGTAAAACTCCAACAATTACTATGCTCTTCTGTTTCCTTCCTTCCTTCAAGTTAGAGGCTGGTAATCACTTCATCAATGCAGTTCTTTCATTTGCTCATGTCGCACCTATGAGCGGAAAGCTATCGGTGTTCCAGGAAGTCCTTTGGAGAACTATCGCCCGCTCGTCCTCGATGTCGCACAGAATACAAACCCGGTTTCGCAATATTTACAAACCTGTCATTGCAGTAATGAGCGCTGACGTTAGGGTTTTCGATACGCCCCAGTCAACGTCCTCGGTATCGTTTGAGGTCGTCGCCCATGCGCGTTCGCTGCCCGAATGACCTTGCGTGGTGGAACGCTCTTCTCTGAACTGTGGTCCACTGATTGAAAGCACTCACACACAGAAAAGAAACAGCGCGGATATCGGACAGTCGCCGAAACGAAGAAGAACGCACTCGTTAGAGTTGCCTCGAAAGAGCTCAGCTCAGTATGTCACTCATGGCAGGCAGAGATAAGCCAAGGAGAAACAGTGGGGAATACGGCATGCCTGCTCACTTTGCTTCCACTGTTGTGAGAGGACAGTGACCATTGCGAATATTATTCGATACAAAATCGGTAAGATCGGACTATCACACAAAGGCTCACACACGTGGTATATACGATCCTTCTTTACATTTCTTTTGTGTTTTTTTCCCATCCAATTGGTATATTTTCAGAATACGTCCTTGGGATATGACCGCTGATTTTTAATTGTTGATTCGCTTTAAGCCCGGTGTACTTGTGCAGAAAAGGCTCCCATTCCTTTGTTTTTAATTACTTCCATTGGAGGGGGTATACTAAAACTATAGATGTACCGTATAAGTTCAACCACTGGCTCAGCTTGACTCCTAGCTTGTTCTCCATCTCGGAGGAAGCGAGCGTTGCTAGGGAGGCTGGAATCTCGCTCTCGTCACCTGCACAACGCGTGCTGACGACATGATTCAGAGCGGTAGCTGAGAACTCGCGCCGAGGGGGACAACAAACAGAAACACGAGGCCATCGCCTGCGATCCAGCTGCGGTTGTTTTCGAATGTACGTCCACTTTTTTTTTTCTGTTTTCTTTCCCCAGAAGCTCTCCGTCGACAGCGGAAACGAAAGTGATAGCAATGCGAGGAAAGAAATCAGACGAGCAAAAGAAAGAAAGGAATGTTGAATCACGATATAACGGAAGGGCGGGACATCACTACACGTCGAGAGGAACAGCTGATTGCAGAGAACGAACAAAGTAACTGCGCAGATATTATAATAATTGTTTGGGTTTAACGTGCCGAAACTATGACTGGTTAGGAGGGTCACCGTAGTGGAGGGGCTCCAGAAATATCGACCACCTGGAGTTCTTTAACGTGCACTTAAATCTAGGTATACGGACCTTTAACACTTCGCCTCCATCGAAAATGTGGTCACCGCGACCGGTATTCGATCCCGCGACATTCTGGTCGTCACACCAACATCATTAACCATTTAACTACCATGGCTAATTAACTGCGCGGTGCCTTGGCTCAAAGAGCGAGAAACCTGTTGCTAGTTGAATATTTTACGCCAAAGCAGGAAGAGGAACCACGATGGCATTTATCCTGAACTGTCCTGCATCACTGGCGGCTCTATAGCTGCACGGAGTCTTTCTTAAGAACTGGTAGCTGAGACACTTCATTGTTCCCTGCTGCCCTCTTTTTTTTTACAAACCACATGGGCTCCGGCGTAACGGCTGAATCTACCATCCGCGCACGTCAGGAGCTGATCAGCCTTCGCACGCGTGGGCCCTCCGTTTTGACAGCAGATGTTGCATAGAGAGAAACAGCAGATGATGCATAGAAAGACGATGGGCTGACATCGCGGAGAAGAGCGATCGAAAAGGTGATTTCCCAGCACATCGCGGAAGAATCCCTTGGCACGATCTTTTTATTTTTTTTCTGTGCCAGACAAGCAAAGAAGCCTCCTCCTTGCCAAGGGCGCCAGAGCGTCTGCCGTCGGAGCGCAGCCCGCAAACACGGACACACGTGACGGAAGACCCCGGGCACAACGCGGCCGTATCGTCATAATTACGTAGCGGCACATGACGCCGCCACGCCGGTAGCACGTGTCTCCGTCCGGCCTCCAAAAGGGCTTCGCCGTCCCGGCAACAAACGTTATGAGGGCGAGCACGCCATCGGGGAATGGGGGAGAGTAGATACGGGCCACCTAAGCGCGCTCGCGCCAACGCGCGCGCGAATTCGCCGCGATCGCCGGCTGTCCAGGCTTTTTATTTCTTTCACCTCACATTTTCCCTCCCTCGCCCCCCACACGATTGCCCCCACCGTCTGGGGCTATCGGGCTTTGATGCGGCGTGACGCCCGTTTCTTCTCCGCACCTGATAATTGGCGGTGCTTCGAGAAGCCGTCCGTATTTAAGAAACTCGTATTCACGTCGTAACGGCACACAGACCGCGACTCCCCACTGCTGACCGTCGCGTTCTCACCTCCGGATTCTTCCACAGTTCTTCCAAGAACTCGAGTGTCGCGGTCTTTTCGTATTACACTCTTTGTGAGAGACGCTACTCCTTCGCCCATAGCACTGCTGCGGACTTGAGCATTCTCTCGGAATCAACGTTCCACTGTTTCTTGGTGAGCACAGACTATTTATTACGCTTTCCTTGTATCAACACGACTGCAACCTTAAATTCCTCCGATCTTGTCATAGCATTCGCATAGAGTGCGCATACATTTTTTACAAGTTCGCAATTTTGGTTTTTGTTATTTGTAGAAGATAACTTGCCTGCTGCAAGTTTCACTAACATTGAACGTTGTAATATATAAAGCATGGTTCGCGAATGCACTGTTTCATGCTAATTTCTAGCTTTCGTGGTATTGCAAAAGTTCTGCAGTTTTTAGAAAGTTAATATGACTGTCAGTACAAGTTGCTGAAGAGAAAACGCCCGGGAATAAACGTTCGCGGCAGTAGACTTCGAAAGTCACAAAAAAGGGGGCGAGACGCGCATCAGTTATATTGAGCCACGCTGCAATGTCGCATGGAAACAAGCAAAGCAGTCTAGCCGAATACATCCATCCCGGATTACACTGCTTGCGAAACGGGCAAAAGCGAGCGCTCCTTCAACGATCGTTATATGCCGCACTGCCTGGCTCACTTATCGATGTTCTCTTCTCGGTCATTACAGGATGTGGCAACCCTAGGTACCACTCGTTGACGCTTCGTTCACCTCCGGCTGCAAAAGAAAATGATCCTGATGGATACACTCCACGATAATGGCATGTTCGCCATCCAGTCTCTTCAGACCAGGTGTGTTTCGCTATGACCTTGTTCATCGAGCAGTCTTTAAACTTGTGCGAAGAGCTGCTACTTTTCATAGGCTCGAAACCATGCAAATGCCTCTAAACACGCATGTATAACTCTATATAACTTCTCGGCTAGGTTGTCATGCATTGCAGTCGTCAACGCGTTGAATTTTCTCGTAGTCGGTGTTCAGTTGCGCGCTAGAATTTCTAAGTAGCATGAATCACCAACTTGTCCTGCTCTGTTAAGTTGAATCTGAAATAAAGAATGTTAAAAGACGCAGTCAGGGACTTAAAGGGGCCAAGCTTTCTCTTTCGTGGACTGAGTGGTTCTTTCTTGTTCCTGTTGGTGATATCAGGTGAATAACGGTGCATATTTTCTCGCTGTTCGATAAGCCGTGACGCTCTACCATACACTGCTGGACCCCACATTTATATCACATTATGCAAGCTTAGCTCATTCGAGAAACAAGCATCATATATGAATGCGGTAGGCTTCTCGTGGAATTAGGGGCATATGCGTTGTCGAACGTGGAGGAAGGACGGAACACAGTTTTTATCATAAAACAAGGATTACAATTACAATAACGTCCTTTGTGTTGTTGCGCTTTAGATCAACAGAAAATACATCTTTGTCCCATTGACGCCGGCGTTCTAATATAGCACGAGACGTGCAATTGTAGTCGCTAACGCACTAGAATATTTACGAAACATCAAATCGACTCATAATTTATACGGATGTCACCTGCGCTGACGCCAAAACAAAGCAAAAAAAAAAGCTTCATCATTCTGCTGCGTATAATAAGCTTCAGTGGCACGGCGCACCAGCGCGTTGAATTCTGTGTAGTTAGTTTTTTTTTCCGGTGACGCTATAGGCCTCACCGTCCCTACGTGGGAGCGGCCCGCGATCCTCCCCCTATAAAACGGGGATGGAATCCTTGAGGACCACCATAAAGATTTTAATCCGTTCATCTCCCCCAATGAGCGATGGCCATTTGTGACAGGAAGTTAATGCCGTTATTTTCTATTGCGACGCAGGTTCCAGCACCAGCATGGTCTGTTCTTCGCCATCTCCAACTTCGGAGATCCCCGGTACGCGTTTCTCATCTTTGCACCGCTCATCTACTGTCTCGACTGGACGGTGGGACGCCGGCTGATGTGGGTCACCATTATCGCCGAGTGGTCCAACCAGGTGCTTAAATGGTGAGCGCTTTGGGGCACTCTAAAATGTCAGTCTTCTACGTGATCCAAAGGATCAGATGCAACTGGGAGATACGACAGCTGACTTCACAATTTCGTCTATAGCTCATTTAAAAGGACAATAGGGTTGAACTATAGTTTGTAAGGATTCATCATACAAAGAAGTTAATGAGTGCAAGTGCGGACATGAAAGACATAAAATAAGGGAACAAGAGAACAGATCTTAACACAAAATATCAACTGAGAAAACTTCCTACGGTAAAAAAACAAGCAGACGCAAAAACTTACCTGCGTATGTTCAGGCATTGTGGTGGCACCTGTCAATCAAGCGCACGCGGAGATCTACGCGAGAGACCTACAGGTGTTCCTGATTTACAGGTGGCACTACAATACCCGTGTATGCCTGGATAAGTGCACCCTTTAATTTGATAGCAGGGGTTTCTGTTCTGTTATGCCCATTCTTTGATGCGCTAGCTTCTTTTATGACTTGATTCATCCGTGAGCCCGGCTGAAGCAAAGCAGGGTGATTTGGGTACCCTTTTAAGAGGTCTTCACATAGCAGCATTCATAAATACAACAATGATGATGATAATAATAATGATGGTGTGCACATACCACATACCACAGTCATTTGAGCAAGCTAACTTTGCTTTGATTTGTGAATAATTTCACTCACATTGTCTACTCCTTTCGCAAGGGTGTAAAGAAAATCATCATGAAAAAACGCAGACAGAGATAAAAATACCTTTTACTGTTTTCAGTGTTCAGCAAATGTTTTAGAAGTGATACTTTCGAGCTGAATATGCTACCATCAGATCAATGTTTTTGTTTCATAATGATAAAATACAAAATTCCACGTCCTGTTCGAAAACAACAGCCGGATACATGATAACACCTCCTATACTGTCGCACTCAACTGAAATGATATGTTTTTTTCACCTTATGCAGGAATGTTTTGAGCAGTGAAAAATGACGCGATTTCACTGCGATGTCTTCATGCGAATGCTGTTCGCTGGATAACGATTCTTATTGTTTTCCGAATGAGTAGGGGATTCCGCTTCAGCGTATCAGCGTTTAAACGAACATCCGGATTACGAGCCCGACTTTATCATTTAATGACGGGGCTGTAAAACCTTCTCTTCATTACGGCATTCAAAAGCTTCTTTAGAAATACGTGCTAAAAGAATGAACAGTTTTAAAAAAAATTTATTACGTGTATTCATTTGCTCATTGAGTTGTAAAGGCTAACAGCATGCGTGGCACAATATACTAGCGTCACATGCTACTACTGATAGGCACGCACGGTTGCTATCCTGTCTAGTTTCTTTTTGTTCGGCAACATTGATATTGAAACAATACGTATTTCAGTCCTCCAATGCCTTGAATTAACAATAACGAGACAAGTACGTCTTTCATAACTAGTGTAAAAATATTGCTTCATTTTTCAACGTCTAGTTTGAGAAGGTTAAATTGGGTTTGAGAGAGCGAGAAAAAAATAGAGCACGTTATTTTAACTCGAGGTAGTTTGTGCCTTGCTAGGTTAAATGAAAATAAACGATGGAGGTATACCAATTGTTTACACGCGTGCTTTTTCTTTTTGTCCACGCAGGATGTTGCATGGGGAGCGTCCTTACTGGTGGGTGCACGAAACGGAAATGTACAACCGCACTGGCACCGGCACACCCGCAATCCGTCAGTACTCGTTAACCTGCGAGACCGGACCAGGATCGCCTTCCGGTCACGCAATGGTTTCGGCGGCCATTTGGTACATCATCCTGGACTTCGCGCTGCGCCGCACTGGCATCGCCCAGCAGATGGGCAAGGCCTGGGCTTCGTCCTTCCACTGGTGCACCTACGCGGCGCTCCTCTGCATTGTCAGCCTGTCGCGGGTTTACATCGCAGCCCACTTCCCCCATCAGTGCCTGATGGGCATGATCATTGGTAAGTTCGACTGTATAGGTGCGTCTGGTTAACCAGCCCGCCTTTCCTTGCATCTATCACTCTCCTGTAATTTCAACATGACTTGATATTCGGGCATTGGTTAGAGTTAAGGAAAGAGGTTTCGAGGTGCTAACAAGATAAAATGTGAAAGAACAAACGTGCATATTGAACAGGAAGGGAAAGACACAAGGCTGCGCTGTTTTTTTATTTATTTATTAATACTGTAACCCTCACTTGAGGGTCATTACAGGGAGGAATATAAACACAAAAACAAAAACATTACACAATGACAAAACAGACATTACGTTTCATGTTGCCGGTAGTACAATTCTAGCGAACACTCAAACGCTTTGACATTTGCGCTAGTAACAGCGTACTCTGGAAGTCTATTCCACACTTCTATGCTATACGAAAAAAAAGAATTTTAGTGACTGGCTCTCTTAATCGTACGAAGGATCTCTATATCGTAGATATTGTAACGGTAGGATGAGAACGACGAAGAAGACAAAGAGGAGGACGATGTTGTCAGATCTGTGAGCCAACTGGGCGCCATCTTGTCCACCACCGAGTTTATTCCTCGTTTTATAAAGTAAAGTTATTCTCCCGTAACATCATTGGTGGGAGGTGCGGGGTACTCACTTCACGCAAAACGGAGCTTCGTAGCGGGCGCCTAGTGGTCTCCCCCATGGCGACTGCAGTCAACAATGCCGACCCTTCCCCGACTACCGTGCCTTCTCCAACTACGTCCGTGCTTTCTCCAACTGGACCGTCAACCCTCATCTTGGAGCCTCCGAGAGATCCAGGTACCTTTTCTGGCACTGATGGCATTGACGTAGAAGCCTGGCTGAAGTCATACGAACGAGTGGGTGTACGTATGCGATGGGATCCAACGCTCATGCTGGCCAACGTGATTTTTTATCTCAGAGGTACCGCAAAGGTCTGGTACGAGACGCACGAGGAAGAACTGACTAGCTGGGAGTTATGCAAGCAAAAGCTCCGGGAGCTATTTGGCAGGCCTGTGGGAAGTCAACGCGCCGCCCAAAACGAGCTCGCACGTCGAGTTCAGACGTGCACCGAATCATACCTCACGTACATTCAGGACGTGCTCGCTTTGTGCCGCAAGGTAGACTCGCAGATGTCCGAAGCCGATAAGGTTGGCCATATTATTAAGGGCATAGCAGATGACGCCTTCCACCTTCTTGTGTTCAAGAATTCATCTACGGTCCACGACATTATTTCTGAATGCCGGCGCTTTGAAGAAGCGAAGAGCCGCCGTGTTCTCCACCAGTTTGCCCGGCTTCCAAACACGGCTGCAACATCCACATGCGAAGACCCTCGCCTGCCTTCTACGGAAAGTCCCGGTGACGTTGTCCGTATTGTCCGTCGGGAAATAGAAGCCGCAGCTCCACTCGTGTCAGCCTCCCCCAACTCCGAAAGCTATCACGCCACCGTCTCTCTCATACAGACCGTCGTGAGGCAAGAACTGGTCAACGCCGGCTTAAACGTCTGCTCCATTCATCGTCCAGACTACGCCACACCAAATCCACCCGTGACTGTTCCGCCCAACCGACGTTTTTCGGCCAGCCCACATTATCGCGACCCGGCGGTATGGCGCACCCCAGACGACCGGCCGATATGCTTCAATTGCGGTCGTATAGGCCACATTTCGCGTCACTGCCGTGCTTGGTCCAGCTCTGCTCCGTGGCCTCAACCTCCGCCCCATCGCCCACCTGTCTGGAATTCACGCTCATCACCGAAAACAGAGCCGCTAACGCCTGAGAATTCCTCGCGCCCCCGATCCAGCCGCTCCCCTTCGCCACAACGCCGTTTCTCCCGCTCGCCCCCATCTCGCCGATCGCCGTCCCCAAGCTCGTTCCGGCGTTCACCTCCGGAAAACTGACGGGAGCAGCTCTTGGAGGTGATGCTGCAATACCGACCCGATGCCAAAATCCTCTACTGACCTTGCCCGCACATCAGAACCTTATCAATGTTGACGTCGACGGTGTACCTACTACAGCCCTCATTGACACTGGCGCACACGTGTCTATCATGAACGCTGACCTTAGAGCACGGCTGAAGAAAGTCCTTACTCCTGGCCCAACTCCTGTGGTCCGAACGGCCGATGGTGGAAAAGTCGCCGTAATTGGTGTGTGCTCAGCTCGCGTCAGCGTCGCCGGACACCACACATCAGTTCTGTTTTATGTTTTAGAACACTGCCCTAATGACATAATTTTGGGCCAAGAGTTTTTGTCTGAACATTCGGCCTTGATAGACTGCTCTGCCGGTATAGTGCAACTCGCTCTACCTAATGTTGTTGATCCTCCAAGTTGCCCTCCAAGTCGGCTTTGTTCTACAGAACACCTGCGTCTCCCTCAACGAACAGTAGCTTACATAGGCGTCTCCCCTGTTCCACCTGTCCCAGACGGTGTTTATATTGTGTCCCCCAATGTTGACGTCCTGCTTTCGCACAACGTTGCGTTTCCTCACACCGTCATCACTATTACGGCCAATGCATCCTGCCTACCCTTAGTGAATTTTTCACTATGTACACAAGTCCTCCCTCGTGGTATATCTCTAGCCGAGATCGTGCCGGCGGCAGAGTGCCATATTTGCACTCTAAGTTATGACAGCATCCCGAGTGCCGAAAAAACTTCGTCTACTCCTCCATCAGACCAAAGTGTGTTAACCAAGATGATTGCCCCCGACTTGCCAAAAGAACAAGCTAACGACCTGCGTTCCCTGCTTGCATCTTTTTGGGACATCTTCGACTTTGGCGACCGCCCACTCGGCCAGACGTCCGTTGTTAAGCACCGGATTGATACAGGCGATACGAGTCCCATCCATCGGAGACCCTACCGTGTTTCCCATGCAGAGCGGCGCATCATCCAACAGGAGGTCGACAAAATGCTTTCTCGGAATATCATCGAGCCTTCATGCAGTCCCTGGGCGTCCCCTGTTGTACTTGTAAAGAAGAAGGACAACAGCTGGAGATTTTGCGTCGATTATCGCCATTTAAACAAAATAACGAAGAAGGACGTCTACCCTTTACCACGCATAGACGATGCCCTGGATTGCCTTCACGGCGCAAAATATTTTTCCTCCATTGACCTCCGCTCTGGGTACTGGCAGATTGCCGTTGATGACATGGACCGTGAGAAGACGGCGTTTATCACTCCCGACGGCCTTACGAGTTTAAAGTGATGCCATTCGGTTTATGTAATGCGCCCGCCACATTCGAACGTATGATGGACGCTCTGTTGCACGGCTTCAAGTGGTCCATCTGCCTGTGCTACCTGGACGACGTTATCGTTTTTTTCGCCTTCTTTTGCGACGCACCTTGAAAGGCTATCGAAAATCTTATCTGTCTTTCGTAAGGCGGGCCTGCAACTCAATTCGGCAAAGTGCCACTTCGGCCGTCGTGAAATTTCTGTCCTCGGACACCTCGTTGATTCCGTGGGGGTTCGCCCTGATCAAGATAAAATACGCGCAGTAAGAGATTTCCCTGTACCAACCTGTACCAAAGACGTTCGCAGTTTCGTTGGCCTCTGTTCTTACTTCCGCCGCTTTGTTAAAAACTTCGCCGACGTAGCACGCCCTCTCACTCAACTTCTCAAAAAAGACGCTGGCTTCATCTGGGGCCCTGAGCAAGCAGATGCGTTTCAAAATCTAGTGTGTCTGCTTACGTCTCCGCCTATCCTCGCCCACTTTGATATTTCATCTCCAACAGAAGTTCGTACAGACGCAAGTGGCTATGGCATCGGTGCAGTCCTCGCCCAGAAACAACAAGGACGAGACCGTGTTGTTGCTTATGCCAGCCGTCTTCTTTCGCCTGCTGAAAGAAAATATTCAATAACCGAACGGGAATGTTTGGCACTTGTTTGGGCAGTCGGTAAATTTCGTCCCTATTTGTACGGCCGGCCATTCACAGTAATCACAGATCACCACGCCTTGTGCTGGCTTTCCTCCCTTAAAGACCCTTCAGGCCGTCTTGGCCGTTGGGCGCTGCGCCTTCAAGAATTTGATTACTCAGTCCTGTATAAAACCGGCCGCCTGCATCAAGATGCGGACTGCTTGTCCCGGTATCCTGTCGACCCTCCAGACGGCGACTCCTCTAAAACCACCCTTCCTATCGACGTTTTCTCTCTATCCGCGTTTCATGACATTGGAATCGAGCAGCGACGAGATACTTTCTTGGACGGTATTATCCGAAGGCTCACATCGGTGAGGCCCGACCCTTCCCTTCGAATGTTTGAAATACATGATGGTGTATTGTACCGTTGCAATATGCGTCCTGACGGCCCCGAAAGACTACTCGTCGTTCCCATTCAATTGCGTCACACTGTTCTCGCCCAGCTTCATGATGCACCTACAGCGGGTCACCTCGGCGTGTCACGGACCTACGACAGAGTTCGCCGGCGCTTCTTCTGGCCTGGCATGTACCGCGACGTCTGCCGTTATATTGCAGCCTGCGACCCTTGTCAACGACGGAAAAAACCAAATGCCCCTCCGGCCGGACGTCTTCAGCCACTGCACATCCCACAAGACCCATTCTACCGTGTTGGCGTGGACCTGCTTGGCCCTTTTCCTACGTCAGCTGCGGGTAATCGGTGGATTGCAGTAGCAACCGATTATGCTACCCGATACGCGATCACACGGGCCCTTCCAACCAGCTGTGCAACTGACGTGGCCGATTTCCTTTTGGAGGACGTCATCTTACATCATGGCGCCCCTCGACAACTCCTTACCGACCGAGGCAGCTACTTCCTTTCCAAAGTGGTTGATGACCTCCTCCGCTCCTGCGCCACTAAACACAAGCTCTCGACTGCTTACCATCCACAAACAAATGGTCTAACGGAGCGCCTCAATCGCACTCTCACCGACATGCTCTCCATGTATGTCTCCGCCGATCACCGCGACTGGGACACTACGTTACCGTTTGTAACATTCGCGTACAATTCTTCCAGACACGACACCGCTGGGTTCTCTCCTTTTTTTCTGTTGTTCGGCCGTGACCCTGCGCTACCTTTCGACACCCTCCTGCCGGCCGGACTAAATGACAAGTCTCAGTACGCTCGTGATGCAATAATGAAGGCCCAAGCGGCACGCCAAGTTGCTCGACGACGCTTACTGGACTCCCAGGACAATCAGAAGAGCGTATACGACGCCCGCCATCGTGACGTCCACTTCACACCCGGAGATCTCGTTCTGTTATGGTTCCCCTCGCGCCGCGTTGGACTTTCGGAGAAGTTACTCCCACGCTATTCAGGTCCCTACCGTATCTTACGCCAAGTAACTGACGTCACATACGAAATCACCCCTACGGACCCCGCCATCCTTCACCCTCACACTGACGTAGTGCATGTTACGCGACTCAAACCGTATTACTCCAGTGCCTCCTGATTAGCACCGGGTCGGTGCTCCAGCCGCCGGGGAAATCATGTAACGGTAGGATGAGAACGACGAAGAAGACAAAGAGGAGGACGATGTTGTCAGATCTGTGAGCCAACTGGGCGCCATCTTGTCCACCACCGAGTTTATTCCTCGTTTTATAAAGTAAAGTTATTCTCCCGTAACAATATAAGCAGTCACAGGTGGTGTTGCCGTAGAGTACCCGGTTGTTACGACCAATTAACTAATATATTGGCACAAAAACAGCACAGCATGCATGTACATGCATCATGATCCAAACGATAGAATGTAGTGTGCCGTGCCTCAACTGAACTGTTTGTGAACACTGTTGCTGCGGGCTAGTAAAATGAGAAATAAATTGAGCCTAACATGTAATGCAGCTTGAACGATGTCGTTGTTTGTATAAACCAATTTACACCTCCTAACAAACGCTGAAGTTATCTTACAATGTGCTAGACCATGTGCGCCAAACTTAACGAACATGGTTTCTCTTGTCCTTCAGGCTGCTTGCTGGCCAAGTTCATGTGCAAGATAGACACTGACCATGTGACTCGCCGTCAGTACGTCCTTATCAGCGTAGGCTTGTGTGCCAGCGCGTTGGCTACGTACGGTGTCCTTCGTCTCATGGGCGTTGACCCTCTGTGGTCCGTCGACCGGGCCGTCAAATGGTGCGTCAAGCAGGAGTACATCCACGTCGACACCACTCCCTTCTTCAGCATGATGCGCTACTGCGCCTTCCCCTTCGGCATGGGTCTGGTCATGACTTCCGGCTTCTACCAGCGAGTCGTCAAGGCGACCGAGTTCACCTGGTCCATGCGAGTGCTGGCCGCCATCTTGGCTGTGGGCGCCGGCAAGGCTTCCGAGTGGGTCTCGCTGCCCAAGACCAACGTGGCCGTCTTCTACGCTTCGGCATTCCTCTTCAACGCTCTTCTTGCGGCGACGATGTTTGGCTTCGTGCCTTACGTAGTTGCTTCTTTAGCGGGAAGTCGTCGTCAGCCTTCGGGAAAGGCGAAGTCTTCGTAGGCAGGGTAGATTGAGGACGGTGATGTTTCGTCGTCCCCAGTGTCCCTTTTTTTCTTGAACAAATTTTTGTCCCATATCACCCCTAGTTCCCTTAGGCGTTTTTAACAAAGTGATGCCAAATCGTCCCTATACTTGGAACTGTGAGAATACTGTTTCGGGTTAGTGACAACACGCCGTCAGCGTGCAGGGTCTGTCGCACTAGTCTGAGCATTGCGCTTCGTTAAACAGCGTGAAATTTTAGAACAGGAAGATGGCTACGATTACACAGTATTTCGGCTGCAGTATGATGTCATTGCTTTCCATGTGAAGTCCGTTTCACAGCGCCTCTTTCACTTAGTATTACCCTCACTTCCTAGGATATGCGACTGCCCAAGCTGTGGTAAAGTTCCTCGTGCTTTCATTGACACTGTAACAATCCTCATCGATCATACGGTGCATCTCTCTCATCGAACACATTGTCATGATGATCATTATCAACGTTATCATAATACATCCTCCTCAGTTTTTGCATTTTACAACGTAAAAAGCGTTACCCCTAGAGACAGGGAGAAGCGCTGCAGGATTGCAAAGTCGGCGCGGGTCAGCTTAGACATATAGAGTAATAAAATTAAACATCCCACAATGTGAATTTACATATTTACCAAATTTAAACATTCAAGTAGTATTAGCTGTTTTCAAGTAACAATTATTCCCTGAGACATTGGTTATAGGAAAAAAAAGAGCTTCCATGAATAATGCCGAAGAGAATATAGACTGCTTATGCTAAACTTTTATTTTGCCATTTTCAACAAGAACATATGCTCCACTGAATCGGCAGTAACCGCGCCACTCTGAAAACATTTTCACCATATCATTTGAGCACTTTAACACATCACTCATCACAAGACACTTCATTGTAATATAACCTCACTGTATATAATTGTACAGATCTGAACTGTTCGGTTGTGTGTTGAGGTGGACGTATGAAACTCGTGCGTCAAGTGTGGTTATTCTGTACATGTCTGTCACAATGGTAAATAATGTGTGTTCGAACGTTACGCTGTTTACAGTGGGTGAACTTTGAGCATGTTTAATAAAGACCATTTCGCACTTCGATACATTTGGTGGATTTCATCTGTGCTCACTTGAGGTACGCTGGCATGCCCAATGATAAAAAGAAAACTAAACAGTCCCACTTTTCTTAGTAACCCCTGCCAAGAAGTGCACCTGAATAAGCTTAGCGGTAGACCTCTTCCATGTTTGTGAACAGCGGTAGGCCACTTCGACATACTGAGGCGTTTGTAGTGACGTCATGGCGCACGGGCTCCGCCTAGGCGAAATTCGTCAACGCCCTCTACGATCAGGCGACTACTGGTACAGCAGCTGCAAAGGTTCCACCGAGCACAGGGAGCCTCCTCCACGACGCGCTATGCTTGAAGGCAGCCTTTCGGCTGTTGTGCCAGTTTTTCACCCGCCCTGATTTATGTGGCCAACAAACAAACGGCGTGGGAACCGGGCAACATGTATTTGTGACTCGCTCCGACGGTGACAAACTCTTCTCAAGTTGTGTGTTCAAGACTGTTGGCTTAAGCACGAAGCGACACTCTTCAAAACTGGCTAATTTGAGTTTCTCAGAAAAAACCATGTCTACACCAACTTGGACTAGTCATGACCGACATTGATTGTTCAGGCTTTGCACCCTTATGCAACCTTCATCAAGGAATGGACAACATGAAAAATCTCGCGATGATAAAAAAATGGATGACGAACATGTGTAACATTGGACGAAGACGAAATACAAGGAATGTAAGGAAGGAACACTAAAGGAAACGACAGCAGTCCGGTTGGCTACCCTACGCCGGGGGAAAAAGGGAGGAGAAATATGAGAGAGACAGAGGGAGATGAGCGCAAAAGAAAACGAAGTAAATGGAGATCAGTGCGCTGGCACGTACGCATAGCGGTGGCACTGTACAGTAGTCAAAGACGTTGACAAGGCCCGGGGTCAGAACAACATGTCACATGTGGTCTTTGCTGAAAAGAAATTCGTGTTTCCACAGCATTACTCACCGTTACCCATATTAGATAGGTCTCATTGAACAGAGTAAAAGATCGTTATCACAGAAATAAGGAAACGTTTGTTTCTCCTGTAATGAAGATTATAGTAAAGTTTTTGAAAGAACCCCGAAGTGTTGAAAGTAGCTGGCATGTGAAACGCTTTCCTCTAGTCTTGATTTACTGAATCTACATCACCCGCTATATAAAGAAAGACGTCGGAATAAAATAGACACACACGAACACACGATGTGAAGAACTACACACATATGAGTTGCATGAGACTTTGTCAAAATTCACTTCCTCTAAAAGTCACCCTCCTGGTGCGTTGTAGAGCACTGCGAGAAACATTACAGCAAGCAAACTAAAATATACCCGCACTAAGAAAAATGGTTCGTACTTCTTACTATCAGGAACGCCCCTCCATGAGATGAACTGTTTGACTGCAAGCTGATTGGCAGTGTGATCGATACCGGGTTTAAAAGCATGCCACATGTAGTCGCTGCTGAAAGAATTTTCTGGTTCCACAGCATTGCTTGCTGTTAAATGTAGTAGACAAGTGCAATTGCACAGTGTCAAAGAAGCACGCTTTCCATTATGGGTTAGACACGCGGTGCTTAAACGTCTGTTTACGCAATACACCCCAAGGTGCTGAGGTTTGTGAAGTCATGAAAGTTTATTGTGGATCATCGCGGACGCTTGCTCATGAATTGTTTTTTTCCTGCAGCATGTGTTTGCGATGGTCCACAATTAATTTTCACGACTTTCTTGCAACGGCGACTTCACGATACTCCAAATAAGGCTCAGCAATCTACAAGCTGCGTGGCATACACGTTTAGCCAACTTGAAGATTTTTGCGATCTGGTGAAGAATGTTTGGTGCAACCAGTTGGCAAATTCAAAAGATTCACTCCCCTCTCCCGAAAAAAAGCTAAATTTTATATATGAATACTCATGCCCTCACATGCAAATTCACGCACGACCACACATAATTGAACCCCTGCTTTCTCTCAATTCTAAAAAAAAGAGAAGAGAGAAAAAAATGGTGCTGTTGAAGTATACCTGGTGGCAAACGTACGTTAGAAGTGGGGCCATATACATTCATCAGTGTGCAGTGTTCGCTGTACACCTGAATAAGACCTTCTTAATTTGATTTGGATCCATATGATATGACATAATACCTAGATCTGCACCCAGTGTATTTTTCTACGCCATTATACATTCCATGACGCATCAGGGCCCTGACAAACATGTCTTATCACCTCATATAATCATGACTTCACTGCAGTGTCCATTGCCGTTTTTTAAGACAGAATGTGCCTCATTGCTACGAGCGATCGCTTATCACTCATTATCGAATTGCCTGAATTCATAAACTAATTATTGATGCCCCCTTTCCTCCCCCCACACAATATGCAACGTAAAGTTCCGGCTTTAAACGTAAGTGGGCGTGCAATAAGAACACGACAGAACAGACGGTCTGAGACGCAGCAGTTGCAAATATAGCCCTATAGCAGCCGTACCAGGCAGCTTTAGAACAGGTACGCACAGATAACATTCATTGACTGCGATACTCTTTTTCCGTCACTTAACTGGAAACTGAAGATGATAGCGAGTGACCCATGTGCAGGGGCACGGTGTAAGAAACAAAACTCATCTAACAAAACAAAGTTCATCTAAGAAACAAATACATCTCCCGCTAAAGCGAACTACGTGCAGATGCGCAGTGGCGGGCGCTAACACTTAGACTGGCGGTGACGTTGACGATGACACTCATCTTGGTGTTGGGCAGAAGAGAAACCTTGGAAGGCGCAAAGTACGCAATGACGGACTGGTGTTTCCTACTAGAACATGCCAATTGCTGCCGATGGGCCATGAGACACCGAAGACTCCGAATGGGCACAGAAACCCGCAGTCCGCTTTTTGTTGGCGCGCATGCTGCGAATTTTCCAAAGTAGTGCCGCATGCTGCGGCACTACCTTCGAAGTCAAGATCTAGCGCCTATATATACTGGGTGGCGAGTGAACCGTTGCGCAGCGCGAGCAGTCGGTTTTCTCAATTAAGAAACTCACTAGAAGGCGCTGCCTTCGTCGGCGTTGCGACCCGAGAAAAGACGAGGGGACGTGCATGCGCAATGGGAGTAAAAACGTTGCGAGGAGGAATGCCTGGAGGAGAGAAAGAGAGGAGTGAGCTTAAGTTAACGGACGCTCCTTGCGTCTGCATTATGCGGTGAGAGAGGCGGCGCGTGGAGAGAAGGTAGAGGGTGAGAGAACGCGCATGCGCAGTAAGGGTCGTCATGCCACACACAGGTTCGAGCTCGACCTCAGCTGCTTCGCATCTAAAATAGTTTTTTCAGGGGCGACAAGCGCTTAAGTTTTGCGTACCCTGTTCTAGAGATGCCTACTTTCGAGTTAGCGTCAGGCGTTTTCTTCTCGAAAACTGCAATCCACGACGAATCACACAGTTACGCGGAGTGCCGCGTTGCTTGACGCATTAGATGGGGTGACGCCGTAGCGTGGACGTAATGGTAGCCCGCTCGCTGGAAGCCGTCGCCTTATGGTGACAGTCCTGCGATTCCACGGCCTGGCAACAAAATCAGCCGTGCTTGTGCGAGGTCGTCGACTTGTCAGCGCTGTGCTGTTGTTATGGATGACGTTCGCGATCCATGGCAGGTACGGTTGAATGTCGGTGTAGACCCCGGGGGAGTTTGGAACCGCACAGCTTCGTCCCCAAGAGACAATACCTATCTGTATGGCGGTGTCGTCGATGATCTGGAACAACGGTCCCCCAGAATCGCCCTGCAGAAACACACATAACTGAAGCCTAAAAGGTATGTCTTTTTTTTCTTATTAGAAGCCCAGTACTACACAGATAATGAATACAGATAAATCGTGATGTCTCAAGCTTCATCGATAGTCAAGAAACGTACGTGGCCGAGGCGAGATGTAAGTTAATGCTTGTCTGTGCACGAGCTAATTGCTCTGAAAACATTGTAACGAAAGAACAGCACAAGAAAACAAGGACAGAAGGAGCATACACACGAGTGCTCTGCTTGTGTGAGATATGAGCGGCATGTGCGCATAAGTGTTGACGTGGCAATGTGTAGCAGAGTTATTTACAACGTTTTAGCAGGACGTGACAGCCGTGTGTTGTTTGAATGGTGAAATGCAATATTAAAGGGGCACTACAGAGCAACAAGATTTTTCACATAATAGTGTAGTACAATTTCGTAATCCCGAAAACACCACTCTTACCGTGACACAATGCTTAGTAAGCGAGAAAATGCTGGTGGCGACGCCACCTTGAGATTCCCGCACTAAATATTGTGACGTAAGAACTTTTGAAGGCGTCCACTGGATCCTACGTAGCTTCCAATCAATAAAAATGAAGCACGTTGTCATCTCTGGTTGCCACAAACTTAGCATACGAATTTTCTAAAAATTTCATTAGGCCAATGCCATAAAAATCCCCAAAATAAATTTAAAATTTCTTGCACCACGTGTGGAAATATCGGCGCGAAATTAAAAAAAAAACTTAGCTTCATCCATAATTGTTTCCGCTAACAATCAACCTATGATATGGAAACGTATCATTTTAGTGTTCACAGAGTGCAGTTTGTCAATCTAAACCAGGTTATTTTTCTTCTTCAGTGTTCCTTCAAAGAATCACAGGTGACTAGAATTAGTCCGCAGTTTTACTGCGTCCAGCCTCATAATCAGTGGCGGAGCCAAGGGCTGTCACACTGGTCCATGCTCCCCCCTCCTCCCCTCCTACATTCGAATGTTTTTTTGTTTTTTTTTTCGCCATGCCATAGAAACATGTAATGACACTTGACCACACCTGCCCATCTGGCCCCCATGCCCTTCAGATTAAAAAGGGACCCACGCCCCAAAAAAAAAAAAATACCTGCCTACGCCCCTGCTCGCAAATTTATAGTGGTTTCCGTATGTTAATCCACCAAACACTATTTGATAAATGCTTGTTGAGTGCAGATAACTCCATGGTCGAGGTGATTTGTTAATTCTTTCAAGAACGAGTCATTAAAAGCGTATATGAAACTGCATGCATGTTAGTGGTGCAGCATAGCCTCGGAGTTTTAGCAGCATTGATTAGCGATAGACTTAATGTAACTAGCGAATAATGACAGTCATTAGTTAATTAATGATATCGACTTTAGTTAACTAACAATCGAACTCAGTGACGACAGTAATATTTGAACATATGACTTACGATAGCAGTCAGTTGGTTAGTGATACTTGGATTCGTTGACTAATGATCTAACTAACAGACTAACTAATCCTAACGCCAGTTGTCACGCTTACACCAATCGTTGCTACGTACCGTGCATGCGTCCTTTCCACCTTCGAGAAATCCAGCGCATATATTTGTGTCTTCGACGAGGAATCTGATGAGCTGCTTGCACACGGTCAGGTTTACCAGCGGCAGCTCCACGACTTGCAGCACGTCGGAAGTGGGACCATCTGGCAACGATGGAGCAGGAAATAGGTTGAGAGTTCTGAATTATAGATGGCTCTGTCTGACAAACGGCGCCGTGAAATCGTAACGATTATCGAGAACTGTCAGGGCTTGTGAGCGCGACAAACGACATTCGCAAGAACTAGAAGGCTGGACGAGAGCTAATGTTTTCTTTTTTTTTTGTGCTCTGAATTCCCGTCATCTTTGCATCAACTCACTGAATTTTCAGTTTATTCATTGGAAACAACTGAACTTATATGACCGGTAATTCTTATTGGGACTGGCATATCGTGTTCGTTTCTGTCCTCTAGCGTTACAGTTGTCGCTGATTGTTGACTCATAAATTTTAACGCAACCTAATCACGACTGCACCACTTATATACCTTTTTCATCCGTTCACGTCCCGTAATACTGAATTTGGTATATGTGACACTAGCGAAATGGCTGTGAGCGCATCATGAGCGTGGCATGTAGTCGTGTTGCTACATGACATGCACGTCATGATTTCCACTTTAGGACGTGTCAATTTTTGTTCGCCATGCAGTCATGTCTTACAATACCAGTGTTGCAATATGCCATGTGAACGAAACCACCGCAAGAGCTGCTAGACCATGGCATGCATATCATGACATAAGCCATACATGTGATGATTTTCATGTTATTACTAATCATTTATGCTCACCATACAGTCATGCTATGCCATACCATTTTCGGTATAGTTCTTATTATTGAAACGACCAGGAAAGCTAAAAGTCGTAGGTGGCTAGATAGATAGATAGACAGATAAGTTCAAAGTCACCGAAGTGCGGTAAAAAATGTTTCGTATTTAACAGAGTTCTTATAGGTGCCGATTTGGAAAATAGGAATTAAGGCAAAAACGTCATAGGATACGATGGAGGCGGAAATGTTGTAGGCCCGTGTACTCAGATTTGGGTGCACGTTAAAGAACCCCAGGTGGTCGAAATTTCCGGAGCCCTCCACTACGGCGTCTCTATTAATCATATGGTGGTTTTGGGACGTTAAACCCCACAAATCAATCAATCAATCAACGTCATGGGATAGGTATTTATGGGCAATTTAAAAACACCATAAGAGGCCTTCTTCTCCTCTAGTTCATGTTCGTAGTGGCTTGATAAGAACACAAGGAACAAAATAGGCATTTGCCTAAAATTCACTTTCTAATTATTAAATTACGGGCTTTCGTCCTTTCTACTCCCAATAACTTCGATGTCAATATGCCTCACTTCTTATCTTGTATTCGATTTCATTTCATGACAACCGTCTTCCGTGTCCCTGACTTCGCGGCTACCGAAAAGATGCAAGCGTGCTACTGTTATAAAGCCAGCAAACACGCAATGATAAGTTGAAGCGGCTTGTGGAGTGAAATATGAAGCACCATTCGCTTGTGTTTCGCATTTCACGAGCTTCTCGTCCAGTAACGCAGGTGAGCGCAGTGTCATCAATGTTTTGATGATACTGCGCGACTTCGCAACCAGCTTGTTGGGAATGCACTTCGAGTTTACGGCGTACGGTAGCTTCAGGCCGTGTGATGATTTCCCTTGTAGCACCGGTGAGGTGGCTATAAAACTATGCGGAAAAAAAAAGCGCCACGACACTCTCCATTTTATAACATTTTATTGTACAGCTGATTGTCGCGTGACGTAATACTCAAAAAGTTCCTATTGAGCACGCGATGATGCGTCGTTATTCTGAGAATATATGGCAAGAGCACGTGGCTTCGTGGGTGTTCCAATACTTGCCGTAGACAGCTAAACAGACCACTAAGCAAATCATCAAGCAATCATGAGTAAGTATAAGACTGAGAAAAGAAGTCATAACTGTAGACAGCCAACATTAGCCTATGTTGGCCAACATTTACCATCACGCAGGCAGTATTAGCCTTCGTATCGCTAATATATGTTAAAGCTGCATGTTTCGAAGTTCTAAAGAGTGGAACAGTGTGATTTCCGGTCACCACCACATGCGGGAGAATCACATGACCTTTGTAAAAAAATGTCACATGTGATGGTATTGGTAGAACGGCACATCGCTGTCGCACTCTGGTTCTAGTAATATGTATTGATGCTGACAAAACAGCGAGAGCCGCGAAGTGATACGGCGTAGTTTAATGACTCTCTAGCAACATGGGCCAACCACTGACACTGGCGAAATGGGTATGCATCTATTTAGCCGGTGGTATGATGTCACGCCTCACGTTTCTGAAGTAGCATGACTATTTCGCATGCGATGGCAATCGGAAGTCCCGCTGTCGTACTCTTTACAATATAGAAACACACGACAAGGCTAGCTAAGATTTTTCAATAGTGAGGCAACATCGTTCCACAGTAGCAGTCTTGAGAGTACTGGTCTAGAATGCCACTGTGTAGTCGAATTTCGCCATTGGCGAACCCTGATTGACCAAGTGAGTTGCTATGGGCCTTTCTGGTTAGATTGATTTAATTGATATGTGGGGTTTAACGTCCCAAAACCACCATATGATTATGAAGGACGCTGTAGTGGAAGGCTCTAGAAGTTTCGACCACATGGTGTTTCTTAACGTGCACCTAAATCTGGGTACACGGGCCTACAGCATTTCCGCCTCCATCGGAAATGTCTCTGGTTGGATTAAAGTAGTCATTGCGAAATTTGACATTATAGCCGAACTCGACAGTGCCCAGAATAACACATGCGTTAGAGTAGGCGTACTTTCAGACGTGTAGCCCCATCCGCTGACTAGGGCGAACCCTTCCGGCCGGAATCCTCGTGGCGGCAGGCAGATGGTGTTCACGTAACCACCCAGCCTCCAGAGGGGCACTCGGTCCTTGAGGCGCAGCAGGGCGATGTCGTTCACCAGCGTCGCCTCGTCGAACTGGGGGTGGATGAAGAAGGCGCATGGCTTCGAGCGCCACTGGAAAAACGACGGGAACGACAGGCGATGCAGGCCCAACCACACGGTCAAGTCCTGCATCGACTCCCTGCACAAATGTACGCCATCATCAAAAGGTACCGCTGTTTTCACGTAACCAAAGTCTGCTGTTTTCCAGAAAAATTCGTTAGGACAGCAGATAACGCATACTACCGTTTGATGCCAAGTTTATAGGTGCAGTGTAAAAAACGAACGAGAGGTTAGCCAGTACAAATTGATTTCTTGGTTGTTTCTGCGCAAGATGCACGTAGAGAACGACAAAAAAAACAACAAAGACAGAAGCTACGTTTTATTCTTCTCTGCTGTCTTGCGTGAGCGAACATTATCAGTGACTTTTGGATTAATTCAATATATCAGCGATAACAGACGAAATATTTTCGCTGGTCACGTCTGCAAAAAAAAGTGTAAGTGGGCTTTTGTTGATTTCCATGAGAATTTCACCTTCTCTACATTTTCGTACGTGTTGTGTAAGAGATAACGTTTTTATATATAGCACCACTTACTCGTTTTTGAGCGAATTGAATTCCTAGAAATATCAGTAATGAAAATAATTTTGTAGAAAAGCGCCTAAGAGTGTTTATGTATCTCAGTCGATTTTTAGAAAAAATCATCATATATTCACGAAGTATCTTTATGCATCGACTTGAAAAACAACTCAAAATACACTCGAGCCATATAACACTATAGTTCACATATGCAGCCAAGCAAAAACTATATATGCTGAAAATAACAATACCACCTAACGTACACGTAAAAACACTAAGACTGGCAAAGCCCAGTGACAGACACTTGTGCTGCCGTATGTCTTAACAAGGTATGGCGATGCCAAAAATGTTAGCAACATGCAATTGAAGTCATGTCATGGCACGCTTCCCATACCTTGCCAGACAGTGACCACAGGTTAGCACGAACTTGTCTGTGATGAGGCTCCCTCCCCCAAAGAAGACGTTTCGGCCATTCGTTCTCCGAATAAGAGCAACCTGCGTTAAGAAACTCATAGTTAGCACGAAAAGCGTCTGTTAAAGCGTGTGCGCGCTAAAGATTGCCCCTACAGCCCTAATGCATAAAGCTGCGCCAGCAGAAAGCGCCTTGGCTTACATTGATACATGTTGAGTTTTTTTATTGACAAGATGAAAATAGAAGAACGAGAGGAGTGTACATGACCGCTGCTCCTGCTAATGCTTGCTTATTTTTTATTTATATATGAGAAACTGTGGAAACCTAGGGTACGTTAGAGACCGCTATTCCAACATATTGGTAGTAATCTACAAAATACACACACAGATACGAAAAATTAAGAAGAATCAAAGAAAAAAAAATCAGAGATACTATGTACATATAAACACTATACTACATATAACACATGTGCACACTCCATGGGCATAGATAGCGCAGTTCATACAGTGTGATCACATCGTGGATAGAGTTCATACAAATAACATTTTGATACACTTGCATCTTGACCATGATATATGCTTTTGCACCTCAAAGACACACTACTGCTTGTCTCATGCACATATGCTTGCATTCGTATACACATTCACACTTTTACACGTGGTATCTTGAAAAAAGCGAGTTATATGCAGTAAATGCAGTCAATTTTTTATATTATCAGTTGTGTAAACATGAATATGTAAATACCTGCGCTGATGTTCTATATAGAGGTTGATGTGCTTTACTGCTAACCGGACGGTTGCAGGACCAGATCCGTGCCACTTTTTCGCGAGATTCGGAAATGCGTAGATTAAGGTGGACGTTATAGAATCCATGCTAGTTGAAATTTCCGGAGCCATCTACCACCATGTACACGATCATGAAGTACGCGAGACGAGAAACACCGAAAATTATCATTTGTATGCGTAAACAGCATACAAAGACGTAAGGAAATGAGGTTTTTCACTGGCTTCTGAAAAGGGCCTTATACACAGACACAAAACAAAAAGAAATAACTGAATTGTTAGGTTTTTGCAGCATAATAACTCACACATCACATGACATCCGCTAATAACATTGAGCAGCTCAACTGTCCTCCAAGTATGAACTTTAAAACCATTAAAGGAATACCTATAGGGTATGAAAGCTTGCAGGCAAAAGGCAATTTAGTGTAATTATGCTACGAATTATATAACAACAACTTGCGGACATCATAGCTGTTACGTAAGCAATGTGACATATATAACTGACCTAGGAAACTTTTTGCGCTACAGCGCCATGAAAGCCATAGATATAAGCCGTTATCAAGCGTCCTAATTCCACTTCACTGCATACGATGACGCGAAGCATTACAAAACGGCTGCAAGCATAAAACTGACAGCACCAATCAGAAGGGCTGGATTAAAATGAAAAACACACGGTCTTTTGTAGTAGTTTTTCAATAACTAAGTATCAGAATGAACGCTAGGCCTTAATAAGAGTCCTACTTCAGTGCTTTGTCGACGCAATTTCATTTCATTCTGCGCGCCATACTTAATCACGGTTCATCAGTAGCCCAATATGCACACACGCACGCACGTCCCCTTCTAAGGAACCGAAGCTTATGTTTGCGGAGCAATGACAACGCCACGCCTGGCCCTGGCGGAAAGCTCCGGAAAACTTGATGAGAGGCGCGGGAGAGGGCGTAAGCCATATAGTTTCCTAATATACACTAGAGTAAAAACTGGCGCTAGTGTCTAAGGGAGCTGCAACGCAGGGCGCTTCAGCGAGCATGACAATGTTGGTTAGTACACACATTGGGCTAATCTTCGTACTTCTGGCCTGCTTTTGGCTCCGTGTGTGTTCGTGTGGCTTGGAACTGTTTTTTCACGAAACAAAAATCAGCAAATGTTCAGCGATAGCGCTTCACCACCTCATTTTTTAAGACTTACCTTTCCAAATCAAGCCACAACCCTATTGCAAAAACCAGCGCCACTGGGTACCAGCGTCCAGTGCTATACCTGATTATGGGCCCAGTATGGCGCTGGTACCAGCGCCTCCCAGCGCAGGCACTGGGACGCTGAGCGGCAGCGTCCCAGTACTCTGCGCAAAATGGCTTCCCAGGGATGAAACGGGGGCGCCCATTAGCCATAAATAAATAAATAAATAAATAAATAAATAAATAAATAAATAAATAAATAAATAAATAAATAAATAAATAAATAAGTAAAATAACGCACATTCAATATAAAAATAAAATAATAACATTTTGAAAAAAAAATAAACATTGCATGACGGAATTTGAGCTCGCTACCTCGTGATATCTAACCGAGTACGCTACCCACTACGCCACGCCAGAACGTGCATGTGGGGTTGTAAGACGACTAATTAACCGAAGAACGCGCCGTTCAACTTCATGTTTACAAGTCGCACAGTCACGACTGACACGATATTCTTTTCCAAATAACCGTTGCGTCTTGATTCGACAGTGACCAACGGCTCCCGGGCGCCAAATGACGAGCAGATATTAGCAAGAGCGCAAAGTTTTTTGAAGCATCTACATCTTAACTCTGAAAAATCTCAGATTGACTGGAAGAGCAGCCACAGATTGTCAGCTGTTGCTGCCGATAGTCTTTTTTCCTTTGATAGTCGTTTCTTGCACTTGCTATACTTGTCAACAAGTGCAGATGATTTACATGTATTGTTTGGTAGATATCCACGCACACGAGTGAATATTGAGTATTTTTCTTTCGCGCAAGCGACGATGTAGCAGTACACATCTGGTGTGCCAGATAACATATTTGCAGTTATATCGATACCTGCAACTAATTGATTTGATTGATATGTGGGGTTTAGCGTCCAAACCCCACTATATGATTATGAGAGACGCCGTAGTGGAGGGCTCCGGAAATTTCGACCACCTGGGGTTCTTTAACGTGCGCCCAACTCTGAACACACGGACTTACAACACTTCCGCCTTCATCGGAAATGCAGCCGCCGAAGTTCAAAGAAAGAATTGTCAATGTAGTTTGATTGATATGTGGGGTTTAACGTTCCAAAACCACCACATGATTATGAGAGACGCCATAGTAGAGGGCTCCGGAAATTACGAAAACATAAATGTCGAGGTATATCCGTCTAACCGTTTAGTTATTAACAAAAATAATACAAACAAAACATGGCGGCAATGGGGCAGCAGATATAGAGCATGCTTGTGGCGTGTGTGAACACGTGCGAAGGCCATAAGCTTGAAAAAAAAAATACAATGCTAATCAATTTTCCTAACTGAATCTCCGCCCTAAAATTCTTGCCCTTCACAGCACGCTTGATTAGGTGGAATTCAATTGAAAGCGTCGGAACTGAATTGTGATAGCGTCCAGAAAAGATACGCAGCACAGATAAGCACGGGACGGTGGGAGCGAATTATCGTACACGCCAACACTGGGGGCATTATTAGGTTACTGCTCTTCGTCATTAGCCGCTTTTGTTTTCGAGATCTTTTCAGTTACTGAATCGTTCATCCCATTCAGCATCCACTTCTTTTTTTTTCTATTCTTTTATTTGCCCAGGTGGGCGAAGCAAATGCGAGTCCACATTTCGCGTTTGCAGCGCGTGTGCTCGGCATTCAGGGCTTGCTCGTGGTGTTGGGAAAGCCTAGGTTGAGAAACGCGAGATCACCACATAACAGATTGGCTCGCGGATCGCTGATGTAGGTGGATTCTACATGCAAGCTCTAGAAAGCTACGCGGGAAACTTCTAAAACCAGAAAACAATGAAAAAAAAAACGAGAGAGCGAGAGAAAAATAATAGGTAACAGCCATGGGCTGAACTCCGAGGGAGTCGATTTTGCATAATGACGGCGTATGCTATAAGAGGAAGAGTGCGGTAAAGTTTCGCGATATTCATCTAGATAGATCGCTCCCGCCAGAGAAAAGTTTGAAGGTGTTTCACGCAGGACGAAGCTGGCCACCCAAAGCTCAGGGAAGACCACCCGCTGTTTTTAACTCGAAAGAAAAGCAATACTATATGCGTTATCTGAGCCGATACTTACGTGTACTGCAGGTAACGACAGCAAATAATGTGAACGTAGCGATATTCTCAAAATACTATAGAAGGCTATACCATGGCTTACCTACAAACCATGCACATGCAAGAACGTACGAATGGCTTGACCACAGAACGCCTAAGTCTGAATTTCCGCTCAGACTTCTTTGATGCTCGATCATATCTTGTAGTTTGTGGTTTCCGTCTATAGGACGTTATTACACGAATCGATCTTGATATTGTCGATATACAAAAAAAAGGTCTCAAACGTATCTCCTTTGGCGGACTGTACTCGTGAAACTTAGTCCCTCGAGGGCTAAGAAGTGAACAAGGTAGAGGCGAAATAGTGTGTAGAGGGCGGGGGTTGAACAAGACCAAACCTACAGCGTCTGCTTTTGCAACAACGCATTTTTCATATCCCATATATTCCTGCGGCGGCTGCATTTTCGATGGAGGTGAAAATGCTGTAGGCCCGTGTTCTCAGATTTGGGCGCTTGTTAAAGAACCCCAGGTGGTTGAAATTTCCAGAGTCCTCCACAACGGCTTCTCTTATAATCTTATGGTAGTTTTGGGACGTGAAACCTGACATATTAATCATTATTCCATATATTCCTGAAAAGGATTTGCCATCAGGATACCGCAAACATATTGATTCTGATTTCCAGACCAACTCCGACGCAGACGCCGCTATTGCAGAAGAGTGTTTGATACGCTTACGTTTCAACGCATGGCGACCACCCCAGGTGTGTCAAAATTAAACACGCTTGAGGCCAGACCCGTCTCCCTGGCCTATCCGAACGAAGCGTTAATAATCACAGTCGGTGAGTACCATTTCGAGAACACCGTTGCGAGTGTAACATTTAGCACAATAGCAAACACTCTATTCCTTGCGAAGCCGCGTTCAGTAAGCCGTTGGCGGGCTGCATGCGGTCGGCGTGCCACGTGTTTAGAATTCCTTTCTTACACTATCACTCGCTTGCGTACAAGTTGCTGATTCCTCCAATCAATCAATCAATCAATCAATCAATCAATCAATCAATCAATCAATCAATCAATCAATCAATCAATCAATCAATCAATCAATCAATAAAAATAAATAGATAAATAAATAAAAAAAATGAACTGTACCAACGGCATTTCGTGAGCACAGGCAGGCTTGACAGGTCGTGCACACCGAAACAATATGAACAAAAGTGGTACATGATAACTATACGGCACGCGGGCAGTGTAAGACCAAAAGCTTATAGAAACAGTCGGACGTCCTAACTAATCAAATCTATTAGACCAGCCATCATCATCACAATTTCAACCAATACCATCCTGTTATTTTCCTGCTATGGGATTCTATAGTGATCTAATTCACTATAACATATTCAATTTCACCCTCCTTTCCCGCCTTAAAGCAGCACTCCTACTCCCGAAATCGGGAATAACAGCACTAGCAAGCATGTGGCTCTGAGATTAAATGGCCGTAAATGGCGCGTGCGCGGCAAGATTCACCTGGAAAGGGAACTCTGCAATCGCCGCGTCTCGCCCGCCCACGATGCGCGTGCTGGTGTGGACAGTGGTTCGCACCAGGCGGCGCCCGCACTCGTACAGTGGCCTCGGGAACGGGATCCCTGCACACCCATTCGTAGAAACACGTTACGCGTGGGCATTCAGAGATACAAGTCAGGAGTGCTATTTTTTTCGGCCACAGTTGGTACAGCACATTACATTTTGCATGGAGTTTCACAATTTACTAGAGGGGACTTTGGCGCGGCGATCGTAATGATAATAATAATAATAATAATAATAATAATAATAATAATAATAATAATAATAATAATAATAATAATAATAATAATAATAATAATAATAATAATAATAATAATAATAATAATAATAATAATAATCGTAACTACGCCCACTGCAGGGCAAAGGCCTCTCTCATTATCCGCCAATCAACCCGGTCTTGTGCTTTCTGCTGCCACGTTACACCTGCGAACTTTTAAATCTCGTCGGCCCACCTAACTTTCTGTCCCCCCTTCGTGCGTTTGCCTTCTCTGGGAATCCAGTCAGTTACCCTTAATGACCAGGGGTTATCCTAACTACGGACTACGTGGCCTGCCCACGCCCATTTCTTATTTTCGATTTCAACTATGATATTATCCCTCAGCCCCTGTTTGTTTCCCCGACCCACTCTGCTCTCTTCCTGTCTCTATTGTTCTCACTGTCGCTGTGTCAAACAAAGAAATGAGCGCCAAAAATTATCTTCATTCACGGTGTCATTGTTATACAAAATTACATCCAAAATTACAATTTTAAAACAAAGCCATTTTAGTCATGCTCTAAATCACAGGCATCACTTCCCTTACTTCACAGTGTCACATCTCTTCTCCTGGACGACCCCTTAACACCATAGGCTGCATGCCATTTTATAGTAGCCCTAACGATCACTTGTATAGTGTATTGCAGCGATAAATTTGACTAAAGAAAATAGCAATTTTTGTTAAAAATTACGGATAGATTCCACGTGCCTGAAGTGGTCCTAGAAATTCTGAGTAATTGCGTTATCTCCAGCACATCTTGCTAACGCATTGTAAATCCTGATTGACTCCTACCCCTCCCCTACCCAATCCTTTGGCAAATATAGTAATACCACGTCCGTGCTCTTAACTGGCATCGATTTCTAAACTATGCTATATCGCAGGGGCCTCAAATCCGTGGCCTCAGCAGCTGCACATTGAAGGGATTCTGCTAAATAGTAATCGCATTTTTTTTATCGTCTATTGCAGTTAGTAGTGCAACTGAAACTGAAACTTTTCGCTTCAACTGTTTCATGGAAGAGTGTGACGCGAATATGTGCTGAATGAGTGTAGGAAATGATCTAATAAAAGCACGGAAGCGTGTTGAGAGGCCCGTCACATTTACGGTTCCTTGGTTCAGCTATGATCACCGGCATACGCTTGTGTAAATGCCAACGGTCACTGATTTGCATGAGAAACGCTATATTGCGCGGCGCCGAGATTCGTTGTTGATTATGTATTCACAAATTCCTCTTAATCAATTGATACACCCAGCAGCGCGCATTAAGGCCTTGAAATTAACTTGGAGTTCATGCAGACGCTTTTATAATACAATATAGGGCGACTTAGTGCGTGCTAATTGCATTCATTCAGTGTTTGATTTTCAATGCTGGTTTTGGGGGCTCAGTGCCTCTGGTTTCTTCGTGAAAGGCATCACCCCTCTGTACCTAATAGACCTGAGCCGAAGACTATGATTAAAAAAATAAAGAGCTCTATACTGGTTCCTCCTCTAATGCAAATTGCGCATGCGCAGCTGTGAGGTAAACTTATATTCACAGCTGTCGGCGCTGGTTACGGACAGTACGCCCGACGTGGCTAGGCCATGCACCGTGCTGCCAACTTTGTACGCAGACGAAGCGAAGCGCGCATTTGGAACGGAGCACCAGTCCACTTGGCGGGGTTCCAGGCACGTGGTTCATAAAGGGCTCTTCATTTGTGCCCCTCTGATGGGCAAAACACTCTATCGCGTGTCAACCATCCAGATTATAATGCCACCGATACCTGGCCACTCCGAGTGCACGTGTGCGCTAAGGACCCCCCCAAAAAAAGTTACCCACTTAACAGCCTTCCATCTATTTGCTCGTAATGTATGTGCAGCATGGTGGAAAAAAGCAGTCCAGTAGCTCTAGGTCGATGTCACGGAGTAGAAGCTTGCTGCGATGTTCACATACGCGGATGACATATGCAGCTTTTATGAAGAGGATAATTACGCATATAACCTGTATTACATTACGATACGCTGAAGACACCATGCGACTGCCGTGAGCAAGATGGTGAAGTCCTTAACCTCTTAGCCCAAGTTTCCGGTGTATTGGAACAACAACAACAACAACAACAACAACAACAACAACAACAACAACAACAACAACAACAACAACACAACAACAACAACAACAACAACAACAACAACAACAACAACAACAACAACAACAACAACAACAACAGCAACAAAGTCTTCACTCATATCAAATTGATCTGTCTCTCCGATTATCAGAAGATCCATAGACCATTTGACACACTATTGTGCACCGTCTACGATTAGGTGTTGCATGCACACCCCCCTTCTTAATGCTCATAAAAAGAACGTCCCCGCATTGCGACCACTGCGATAATGTCGATGCGTCAGAGGAGCATATTCTACAGAATGTCCGCAATAGAATCAACAACGCGCTGAACTGAGGGATCGCTTGAACCGACTTGACAGACGACCATTTACGATTAGAAAAATACTTGGACCGTGGCCGCATTCCGACAATCAAGGGCCCGCAGTGAGTGCTCGCCGTGATTTTTTAATGGACACAAATCAAATGAACTGGTAAAATATTAATCTAACTCATATTATACCTTGCCACTGTTTGTACGGACTGTATCCGCAATGTTAATTGACTGATATCTTGAGTTTAGCGTCCCAAAACGACCATATGATTATGAGAGACGCCGTAGTGGAGGGCTCCGGAAATTTCAACCACCTGGGGTTCTTTAACGTGCACCCTGTATCTGCAATGTGATCCCGACAAATGAACTGGACTAGACCCATACACACTGTGCTAATTCATGCATTATAAGCTCTATAATGTATATAGTATGTACATAGTGCCTCTGATTAGTTTTTTTCACCCTTTATTCTTAATTTTTGTTGTTTGTTTGTTTATCTTGTACACTACAGTCATGCTGCTGGGATAGCTGGCTCTACGTATCCTACCTTTCATATTCTGGCAAATATAAATAAGAAAGGCTCGATAATATGAAATACCGTTCCTAAAATACGTTGTAATTACTCCCACTTGTTGTGTTCCTTTTCTCCTCACAATGTTATGTATTTTTATGCTTATATATGAACCTTATTTTTCTTCTTTACTTATACATGATTAACATACTCAAACAGGTAGGCACAAAATAAAGTTTTCATTATCAAGATTATCATCATACTAACGACAATTCTGGAGACAATAATCCTAACAAAAGTAAAGGAGGTATTATTAGCAGTAATTGTAATGTAATTGCGAAGAAAGAAAAGTGGACGCAACGATGACTTTCCGCTGGCAGGAACTGAAGCTGCGACCTTCAAATTCTTCCACCTTTTTTTCTTCCCACGTACAATACAACTGCTATACTAATAACATCCCCTATACTTTCCTTGGCATCATTGTGTGTTAGTTTTCATTATTATTGTACAAAAAAAGAAGGCTTCCGTTCACATTTTTTTCCTCAAAAAAGTAGACGTATGAGGGCCAGGTGTCCCAACTACGTGATAGTTATATTGAAGAAAACACCCTTAGTGATGTGATGAAGTCCATATTCAGGACCCCTTACTAGGAAAGAAATCTATAAACGAAGTTTTTCCTGAGTGGAACGCTGGTTTCAGTCTCTGTTATTTTTTCTCGTTTTCTTTGGTGCTAGTGGAAGACGCCGCTCTTCTGCCTGCGGAAATGGACGTAGAATCACCAGGGCCTCCACCCATACGTCCCGCGTCGTCGGTGGCCACTCTAAGAAAGCGCTCCGGCCACCCAAGTGACGTCGACAGTGAGGACACGCTCATGTACTCTACGGCCAGTGATGAGAGCTCCGATGAAAGTGACTTTGTGCCCGTGGCAAGACACAAGGCGAAGAGGAGGTTGCTTACGACATCTCCTTCCCAAAGTAAGGCCACCACGAATATTCAAGAGCCACCGGTTCACACTATTTTGTTTGTCCCGCTGAATGCCGCTGACAGCATGAACCGACTTAATCGCCAGGTCACGTCTATGTCACTTGAGGCGCTCGTTCCGGGACAAATAACAGACGGGAGAATCAATGGCCGCAAGAACGTTCTGGCGATAGACGTTACGCAACGTACTGCTCTCGACGTATTGACCGAGGTGAATGTGCTCGGGAACATGAACGTTCGTTCTTTCATACTAGATGGCAAGGACTCTAGGGCAGGCGTTATCTACGACGTCGACACTTCTATTAGCGATATTGATTTTCCAACTCTAATCAAACCAGTGACGGAAGCTACTACAATCTTGCAAGCCCGCCGTCTCGGGAACTCACGATGCGTGAAACTAGTTTTTAAGGGTGACAGCCTCCCAACTCAAGTAAGAGTTGGTCATTTTCGACACACAGTATGTCCGTTTGTGCCGAAACCTCTTCAGTGTCGGAAGTGCTGTAAAATAGGACACGTGAGTGCTGTTCGCACAAGTTCTGCAGTGTGCTCCCGATGCTCGGAGTCGTACAACACGGAAGCCTGCCAGGGAGAACATCGCAAATGCGGCAATTGCCAAGGTCCTCACGAGGCGTCATCAAAGCAGTGCCCAAATGTGAAGAAGGAAATGCAAGTGCTGAGGCAGATGGCCAGAGACGGTTCTACCCACAGGGAGGCTGCTGCCAAAGTGCGACGTCGACGATCGCGCCATAGGAAAACTCCTAGGACATCCTCTGCAAAGGCCAGGGATACACCGCTACCCCATATCACGCACTCACCACCACAAGCATCAACAAGTGCCAACAACAAGCATCCTCAGAAAGACGCAAGAAACATTGACCCTGACGCGTGGCCAGCGCTGCCGCCA